CAAACGTTTTTCCTATGTGAATCATCGTATTTCTTTGTATATAACACAGAGATATACGATCGTCATGCTAGACCATGTAAACCATCCTATTCTTCGAAGAACAGCTGTTTACGTCTAGGCAAGCATCGAAATTCATAGGTATAAAATAGATTTTTTGAAAATTTGCCTTAGGCAGTATCATCATCTTTGATAATTTGATGTGCTATGAACATAGAAGCTTTATTTTTGATGAGCTAATGAAGAATGATCTAACGAATCATACAATAGAGTGCAAAGTTCAACGAAGCATAAAAAAGGATTCAAACTCAAACTAACGAATTAGTTTTTTTGTGTTTGTCTTAGCGCCTAACTGAACGATGACGTCCAATTTTTCCTTTCGATACATCGTAGTGAAACTTTCTTGCTACAGTTTTATAGTTTCAAAAAGAAATTATGATCATCCAGTTCGATATCTATGAAAATTGTTTTTATCTAAACAATAACAACTTATGCTGTNCAAATTGATATATTAGATACAGCTGGTCAAGAACATTATGCTGATTCGTTTGAAATACAAGATTAAAATATACTTAAAAGAAATGTTTTTATCTAAACAATAACAACTTATGCTGTTTTATGTATGTCTAATTATACTCCTCTTTTTTTCACGGACCCTCAGTGGGAGGCCAGCATATGCCAATTAATAGAGTTGATATTACACAATCATACCATCAAATACAAACATATTGTATGGACATTCTTTATGTTTTTTTGCATTAATATGAAAAGAACTAATTCATGAATTGTAATTGAGTTTCATTTGTAATATTAATATTTCTGACTGAAGTGAGTCTTTATGTCCTTGAGAGAGTGCAGATAAAGAGAATCTAAACTCACACCCCTTAACTAAATGTATAATAATATGCATACATGTATATTTTACAATGCGAATAAAATCAATATTTATTCCCTTAAAAGAAATAGATGACAAATAGTGACTAACAAAGAAAAATTTGATGAATTGCACAAAAAGTTATAGTTCCCCGTTACTGATAAGAAGATAAGAAAAACAAGTAAATAACTGTTATCATATTGCTTGTTTTCTTTTCTACAAAATAAGGCAACATTGTGTATCTCTTTCTTCATCTTTATTTTGATTAATTGGATTAGTATATGTATCTGTGGTTAGATTTTTCAATGGTCGTATAATTCTCATTAATTCACAAAACACTTTATCAACATTATCTGTTGTTTTTGCTGATGTCTCGATATATCGTATTGACCAACTATGTGCTTGCTGTTCAGCTTCTTCAAATGAAACTGTACGTTTATTAGCTAAATCAATGTTATTTCCAACTAATATTGCTGGAATATTTGTTTCACCACTTGTTACACGCAAATTTGTTCACTGAAAAACAAAAAAAAAACAAATATTTTTTCTTTGAAATCAACTAAACTAATTTACTGGAGTTCATTTAAATCAGAAAATGATTCAGCATCAGTTACATCAAAAACAAGAAGAAAACCTTCGTCAGTACGTATATAAGTGTCACGAATAGCTAAAAACATTTCTTTTAAGTATATTTTAATCTTGTATTTCAAACGAATCAGCATAATGTTCTTGACCAGCTGTATCTAATATATCAATTTGAACTTCTTCGCCATCAAGCATAACTGCTTTTCGATATGAACCATCAAAAGGTGGTTCATAATCACCAACAAACTAAACGAATCATATGTTGTTTTTATTTAATGGAAAAAAAACAAAACAAAGTTGAATTTTACTTCATCATACATATATTGAAGTGTTAAAGCTGATTTACCAACACCACCGCTTCCAATCTATGGAAATGACAAATTTTGATGAGGAAATTTATTTCGTTTTTTTTTACCATAACTAATTGATAGATGGGTGCGGGTTTAGTTGTTGTCCCCATGGTTTAGTGCATTGGTGGATAAGAAAAAGATGTGAAAAAGTTATCTTTAAAGTGTTGGTTTTCGTCGACGAAGAACAACCAACTCGTGTTATCATTTTAGCACAGCCAAACACATGAGAGCTAATGCAACACAAATTTCGTTCGATGATTTAGTTTTTTTCTTTTATTTTTCATTGCATAGAAGTCACCATGTTGCGTAGGAGCAACTATATTTACAATATTTATACAAAGTTTTTTTCATGAAAAAAAATGTGGGTATGTGTGCCACTGTGATGTGGGTGTTGGTGTGTGTGTCTTGGATTGTTCTCTTGATTCAAACCCAAACCCACCAATTAAACTCGCCTATTAAATGTGATCGAATGGGGTGTGGGTGGGATGTGGGTGTGAATGGGGGTGTAGATGGGTGGGATGTGGTGTGTGGGTGTGACATTGATCAACAAACACACCCACATTCGCGCGAATCTACTCCTATCCACATCCACATCCACCCAATCTTCAAGCTTTTGGTTTCAAAAACTTTTTCTAACTGCTCGCAGACTATTTTCAGCTGCGTGTTATCTCACTGGATAACAGAAAATTGAGAAAAGCTTTGACTCAGAGAAATCGCACAAAATTCATAGATTTGCGCTTTTTCAAGAAAATGATATGTCGACCATGAATTCACTCATTAATCAAGGTTGAATTGTTAGATAAAAATATTATTTGTAACTTCTACTCTCCACGACAGTTTATTTTCGACATATTTTCGTGGTCAATCATATTCTCACATGCATTAGCGTAGTACATACGCTACACGATATACTGTGTAAACAGGAAATATAATAGGTTTAGACGATTACTATAGTTTATTAGATTTATCGTACTTCAAATCCACATCATTTTTCTACCGTAAAACGTTTTTTAATAATTTCTGTTACTTAAAATAGGCATCAAGCTCAATAACAAGTAAAAGCTAACACAAAACATAGTGACAGGGCCAGATTGAATCGGACAGGCACTCTATTCCGAGCCCTGATCAACACATCCACACTGTCTGTTTGTTTTTAATGCCATTCAACGAGTGAATAGCATTCATCACTTCAAAACAAAAATAAAATAGTTCAGATATGAATTTTATTTAAGCTTAAAGAAAATATGCCATGTCTCAGTCTACTTGCAACACTTCAAGGACATGATTCCTTTCTTAAGTAATCCGAAGAGTGTCTTGCGAAATACGTTGCCAGTGATGGTGTACAAATAGAATGGAATGCAACTTGGAACACCCGTAAACTGAACAACGAGAGCGAAAGCGAAACCTTCCACTGCTCTCTGAGTCGGTGTCTTCGGTTGATAGAATGTATAAGTTAAATAAAACTTTTGGCCAGCTAATGGAAGTGAGAAGATTGTAAGAAGAATGACTTGTGCAATTAACATCACAGTCAGACTTCGTTCATTTCTTCGATTTCCTCCAGTTGTATTAGTTAGTGTAGCCATTGTTACAGGTTGAACTTGTTGAGATTGTAGAACATTGCGAATTGTAAACAAGCCGAAAACAAGCATTATCGACGATGGAATTATTGTTGTGATGAATGATTGAGCAAGATCATTGAAGATGCGGCATGGAGTAGACTTAGCATAACACTTTTGTGGTGTACCAACAAGAGGTGCGTCGAAACAATAGGCAGTTTCAGCCCAAACTAAAAAGGAAAGGATAACGATAATAGTAATGCAATAATAAGCATTCTTCAAGTTGCTCATTCGACGTCGATTGGCATTCCAACATGAGATCAAATAGCGATCAACACTAGCCATGGCAATGAGCCAGGACGCAATGGTACGCATTGGAAAAAGAACAGTAAGACGCAGTTTGCAAATGGCAGATACTAATTCAGTTTGATCAGGAATCATGAATAGGATTTGAAGTACTCGCGGTGTCGATGCAGAAATAAGACTTATTAAATTCGCGATACTAGCCACAAGAAAATAGATAACGCAAGGTTTGAAGCGCAGTGGTCGCTGTGCAAATACCAAACAATTGAGTAGATTTCCGATGACACCAAAGAAAAGAAGAAAAAATGCTATGTACGTATTCATTTGTAATGTAACATATTGCAGTGAAGCAATGTAATTCATGGTTGTATTTGTACTCGACATTTTCTTGACAAATTTTTCTCGCAGATTTCAGATTCACTCTTTGTTTCAGCTAAATACAGGAGAACACACTGTTAGAATACTTAAAGAGAGATGTTTGGATATCATATATATGGCGGTGGAAATGCCTCCTGTTGTGCAGTGTTACTTCATCATTACATTTTTATTTATTCAGCTCGTCTCATGTTCTTCCTGTAGAAGAATAATCGGCCCAGGTATTGCCTTGAAAATGATCTGCAATCATTTGGTTTGCTACGAGGAAACTACGAAACGACTGATTAGTTCTATTAAACTAGATACAAGCAAATGCATACGTAGAATCGTTATCGATGATTATGTGTTATTGTTGGACTGTATTCATCAAAAGAGGTGAAAAGGAAACAAAATTAGTTGTTTTATTGTACTATATGTTGACTATCACAAATGAACGTTTCCAAGAAACTTAACATTGGCCTGAAAATGTTGAAGAGAATAATTCTCCTGCAACGTGGTTGATTACCTCATTACTCTACAGGTAAAATATTGGAACTTAAGTAGCAGCACAAGCATGATGTGATGATTGTGCTCAAACTAACGATGGTAATTCCAAGTCAGCAGTAATTTGAAGAGCCTTGGTTTCAATCAGACAAGTGAAGAATGAGCATGGTACTTAATTGAAAATCGGACTGTGTCTCTTGAAAAGTTGAATTTTTTTTGCATTTTATTACGTTTTTCATTCAGCCGATCGATGCTCGACAAAAGTGTGAGTGTTGATCAAGAGTGATAGAATTTTTGTTTTATTAAGATTGCAATAAAGAACTCAAAACTACACTTCAATTTCCATTGAACTATCGAATTGTACACGAGTGATTCTTGCAACTTTGCAGCTCGTTAAGATTCTGATGAGAAAGGCGAAGCTGAAAATCACTTTATGATCCTTATTTATATTCAGATCGTCAAGTGAGATTTCAGGTGTCTATTTCTATATGCAAACGCCAAATGAGACATGTTCCTTGATGGGTCAATTTAGTCTTACAAAGATGATCATTGAATTTTATTTTCCTAAGATCTAAATAATTGTTCCCATTGTTTCAATTTTAATTCCAGAATACTGATCCACTAAAATAATTATATAACGCATTAATCGTAGCTTCAAAATTTAACATTGAGGATACGAGTGAGGGTGATGATCTTGTCTTCATTCGCCTCCATATAGTCATAGTCATCCTCATACCTAGACTCGCGTTCTATTTTAAGAAATATTGCTATTAAAAATTTAAGAAATAAATAAAACGAAGAATATTGAACAGGTTGAGAGTATCCTTTTCTAACTGAAAAATCTTTTCCAAGTAATTATTCTCATGAATTTGAATGAAATAAGAAGATAAAAACATGTACATTTTATAGCTCTTAAAACATTCCGTCTGCAAATAGCCATAGTGAACAAATTCTAAATCAAAATTGAGACTTACATAGATTTTCTGTTCGTTAAGACTTTCTAAAATTTAGTTATGTGAATTTGCAGTCTTGAAGCTCCTAGAAAATGGTAAATATCTTCTGAGCTTGGATTTTCTTTTCATTTTAATAAGAAATGATGTGGCAGGTTCAGCGGCGAATTTTCATCTTAATCTTACTTTAATATTTTACTCTTGACATCAATCCAGTAGTGTTGATGCTGACCCGATTACGAGAAAAGATCATGCAAATGCTCAGTATAACACCGGTATAGTTAAATTTGAGTGAATTTATTTCACTATACATATATAAATATGAGCCAAAAATGATCGATTCCTGTCGAATGAAATAAAAATTAAACGTTTTGATAATTTGACTTTTTCACGATTTTTCCGCTATTACGTGATTATTTATTTATATAAAACTTAACTTAAACACTATTAAAGTAGTCTTTGAAACATAGATATACTTGACATATAGAACAATTTACGTTGATCTTTATTGAAAAAACATTCAGTTTTACATTGAAGATGCAAACTTAATGGAGTTTGTGACAGATGTGCTGACATCATCAAAGCGATTAATAGTTGAGAGAGTTAGTTTTTTAAAAATTTCTTAATGAATTCAGATTATTATCATGAGTATCTGATTCTGATGATGAATGATGTAAAGTCATTGACACGTTAGAAGACCCCGAGTCTTCTATTCTATCTTATTACTCTACAGTTACATGGGAATCTTCTATTATGTTTCTAAAAATAACGTATATTTTCTGCTACTCTTAAGGATATAATTTTTATAAAATTCGTTTTATGTTAGTTATGTTATTACAAAACGTTAATTACATTTTTCTACGTTAGTAAAGCTGACAAAAACAGTCCATTTTTTTTGTTGTAATATTTAATGAACATTTCACAAAACGAGTATTTTTATTATGAAATGTATTAAATCGAACAAAATAAAATTACTTGGTGCTTCATAGTAGGAATATTTTTTACAGGATAAAAGAACTCATTCATACAAGGCTTTTATTTCATATGATCAAATCGAAAACAAATTAGGTATTTGGATTTTTGGTATGTCGTTCAAGATTAGCTGTTTTCATTGAACTTTCATTATTCAACTTGTAATATGTTCATCTCTTTTTCAATCAGATTCTTGATCAATGTGATCATGATCGATAGTTAATGGTAGTAGATGAAAATTTAAGATTAGATCATTGTCCACAAGAGATGCTCCTATATTTATTCAGTTATGAATACAATCATATAGTTGATTGTCTGTGAAACAAGAAGAATGTAACTCACAAATACCTGAACTTGATCATAACAGGCATTGTTTTACATATACCGTATACATACATCTGTTAATTGCATTTTATACTAATCAAAAAAAAAGATCAACCATTACAGGGAATGCTGTAATATGTCTTTTACGACTTTTATTCAATGGGACCTTCTTTATATATCGAAGACTTTATAGCTAATACGCTTAACATTCAATGTTCAATTGTTCTGAGTTTTCGCAACATTATATTTACTATTAAGTAAATCTGTGAGGTGTCTACCACATTTTTTAAATTATTTTTTTTTCGATTTTAACAGTCTCAATGGATGGGCTACAGTTGAAAATTATCTAGACATGTATAGTATGGAGATGTTTATCATTTCTTTAAGAACACTCCACATATGTATATACATATGTGTTATACTCTCTTCTCTTCTTTATTCTTTTATTATTCTTCAAAACATCAATGTTATCACCGAGATAGCAACATGATTGTGTGACAACAGAACGGAACGAAAGAATAATCTCCGCCCACAGGGAATCGAACCATGCATGTTCTGCTATCCGGGAAGTTGTACTATCACTATACTAAAAAGGAGTGTTTATTATCCAGTTTCCTCCGTCTTATAACTGAAGGGGACCATTTCGGTTATAATAATATGAAATAATTATTAAGTTGATGAATACATTTATGGAGTGTTCCTAAGAATGGTATGGTTCTCGATACTTTATGTGTCGAGAAAAAGATTTTAATTATTATTTCAGATCAATCTCGTCTATGACATGTTTAACTAGACTATTAAAGTCGAAAAAAAGATTTTTCAAAATGTGTTAGAAACCTCATGGATTTAACCGAACATCTCACAATCATAGACACCTTTAGACGCAAAATCAAGAAATGCGTCAAAAAGACAAAAAATAGAGGAAAAAAACAGAAAAGAAAATGAATAAGATACGGAAGAGCTAGATGAACGTTAGTGAGAGAATAGAAGGATATGCAAAAAAAGAAACATCAGCTGAAAGATAATCATCAGTATCACTACCTACGGATAATTACTGAGATAGACTTCTCAGTTAATTACATGTAATATTATACACATGTTACCAAAAGACACATTGACATGATGCAAGAAGCAGAGGATATGCACACAGGGAGTGATGTGTCATACGATAATACAGTGAGACTAACAAAGGAATAAGCAAGAGAGAGAGAGAGATATGATTTTGGTGATTTGGCCAAGAAGAAAAGTCATAAATAAAACTACAAATTTTTATCTTTTATCGATAGAAGATTATTGAAAAACCGTCATGAATTGCTGTTTGATTATCTCTTAGTTGTGACAAATGCTTCTAACATGAAGATAGTGTCACTACTGCTTTTATATCGAAAGCAAAATGCTCACAAAAAAATGTGTTTGTTTTACATCACAATAGATAGGTCATATGTAGCCCAAATTACTTCATAGAATCGTGTTTCTACGTCTCAAATCATGGATTTCTGAAAAACTTTTGTGTGATTACATATACTTCGATTAAAGGTTCCTTGATGAAAAACCAGTTGGCAAAAGTAGCATAACTTGGTTATTTAGAAATTGATTTCGAATGATAGATTTTCAATTCTGATTTCTATTAACCGAAACTGTGAATTATTCGGCAAGATAAAACGCAGTTCAAAATATTCAAAACAAAACGATCTTCAGTGGTGTTCTATTGTCGTTAAGGTTGTTTAAAGGAATCAAAAGTTTATGAGTCCAATCTGGTGTGAAAGTTCGACACTATCTAAATCATTTCGGGATAGACATATTTTGAAACTTGATGAGGTCTTAAACTCGAAAACGCAAGTTTGATTCATTCATTACTTCATCCAATACAGAACATGAATCAGTAAAGACTCCTTAAAATCTATTCAAAACAGCGAATTTTTATTTAATTTATATTTTTATTATTTTTTAGGGTATTGAAGCGAGTCT